GGCTTAAACAAAGAGACACAGCCGACCATGAAAGAAGAACTTGGAACAGAAGATGACGTTGACATGGGACTTCAATGTGGTGGCATTAATTAACGCTGTGGCATTAAATCTGACTGCGGTCTGGCGACCAGAGTCACTGAAAGCAGGGCAAGAAACCACCACCATCCTCCCAGGAGGCTACAGCCCAGCAAAGTTTGGCTGCTCGTCACTGGAGACCTCCAGCTCAACGCTCTTCTGGGTGGTGGAAGCTCTTCACTTGCACCCCTGGTGATGTATCCACCCAATTCCACCCCTAAATTGGGTAATGAAGGAGCAGGAGCAGCACAGGAACCCAGCTGCAGGGAAGCCACAGGAACACAGAGGCTGTCAAAGAACAGAGCGATAAAAACTGTTCCCTCCAGCTGGAGACCTAAGGAGGCTTCCCTGCCATTAACGGAGCGAGATGAGAAAATGCCCATTATAAACACTAATTTCGGTTTTTCACAGCATCTCTGCAATTTTCACCTCGCCGCGTGTGAATAAAATCACACACCCACCTCTGAATCACTGCTGATTGCTCTTATTTACTACAGTTTTGCACCAAAGGCGAAGGGGAGAGGACTACTTGCCGTGGCAGGATCCGTCCCTCCGCGCACGCCTCCCACAGCACCAGTATCCCATTAAATGGATACTATCCCATTAAAACAAACCCGGTTGCACAGGCTGAAGCAATAGCCTTATGATGATGCTACAGAACGTTAAGTCCAAAATTAATGAAATTTTCTCCTCTTAACTCTTTTTCTCTATTATTTTTTTTTTTTTGCTCCCCCAGCTCTTCTCTTCCCACGCTTGGAAAAATCATATCAGCCTCCCTGTTTGTCAAATCCTTCATATTAATTACAGAAAGTTGCCGTGTTTTTCTTTTTTCAGCTTTTTTTGTTGTTGTTGTTTTGGGGTTTTTTTGTGTGTTGACTGAGAGACGGACAAAGGGGCTGATTTTGGCCCCTCGCACCAGCAGGAAAATCCGGGTGTGATTTCCCAGTGATGTTTAGATGCTGATGCGGGATGTGAATATATCGTGTAAGTGTGTGTGTTCGCCTATAAAGCTGTATATTTTCCTGTGTTCTGTTGCTGTCCTTGTGCCATCCGGGGCTGCTGTGAGAAATCCTCAGGAGCCCGAGAGCCCGAGCAGATCCAGGCTGAGATGACACCACCTGAAGGCAGCACTTTTCCTTCCAAGCAACACAACCACAAGAAATGTGCTAAATAATGGGACAGGAGTAGTGATACCACTTGAGGAATTCGGGGTTTCAATGAAATGGGCAGTAAGTTGAGGTTCCTCCACCAGGCTCTGATGGGGAGGTGACTCTCCGTGGGAGCCATGGGCTGGCCCAGCAGAACACATCCCACCTCACCGCCTGCTCTCCTCACTCCAGGAGGGTGCAGGATGTGGGCAGAGCCTGGTGATGGGGACAATGGAGCCCCAAGGAGGGTCCTGGTGCCCTGCTGGCTGCAGGCAGTGTCTTCTGGAGGCAACGTGCTTTGGGGACAGCATGCTTTGGGAACATCATTCGTTGGGGACAATGAGTTTTGGAGACAATGATCTTTGGGGAAAATGATCTTTGGGGACAGCATGCTTTGGGGACAGCTCTGTTGGCCTTCTCTGGGCACGCTCCAGTCCCTCAAGGTCTTTCTTGTCGTGAGGGGTCCAAAACTGGACCCAGCACTGGAGGTGAGACCTCACCAGTGTAGCTCCTCAGGCCAGGATGAGCAGGGTGACACCTGGGGCTCCACGTTATCTCCCCAGACCATGCTCCAGGGCACAAACATTCTGGGGCTTGGCACTGGGTGGCATCTCTGTGCACAATTAGGTTTTTTACATTGGTTATTTGTAAACAATATATTAGCTAACCCTTCCCAAAGCCTTTGCAGGACAGGTCCCCGGTTGCCTTTCTGGGGCAGAAACAGAACCCACTGTTCCCCCTACACAAGGAACTGAGAAAAAAACAACCCCAAAGGCTGAAAAATGGAAATCTGGGTCTTTTGTGGAGGGCAGGGGGTGTGGGGATTGTTGGGGAGGGGTGAGGGCAGGGGGGCCGGGGTGGGTGCAGTGGTGAGGGATGGGTGGGTGCAGGGGATGTTCAAGAGAGTGTTGGGGTACAACAGGGATCTCATTTTACATTGGTTATTTGTAAACAATATATTAGCTAACCCTTCCCAAAGCCTTTGCAGGACAGGTCCCCGGTTGCCTTTCTGGGGCAGAAACAGAACCCACTGTTCCCCCTACACAAGGAACTGAGAAAAAAACAACCCCAAAGGCTGAAAAATGGAAATCTGGGTCTTTTGTGGAGGGCAGGGGGTGTGGGGATTGTTGGGGAGGGGTGAGGGCAGTGGGGCCGGGGTGGGTGCAGTGGTGAGGGATGGGTGGGTGCAGGGGATGTTCAAGAGAGTGTTGGGGTACAACAGGGATCTCAGGGTGCTGGGGGAGTGCAGGGGGGTTCCGTGGGGTGTTGCCGGGCTCCCACAGTTGCCCAGTGATGGTGTTTGTGACCCAGCTGGGGCAGGCAGAGCCCAACAGGACTGATCCGGGGGCAGCTGCAGCACAGGGACCCTCCAAAGCCCAGAAAGGACCGACAGCAGGTAGGGGCTGAGCAGGGACAGATTGGCACCCCAGGGACCTTCATCCTGCCCCATGGACCCTGCACCCTTCATGGGTCCTGCACCCTGCCCCCAAACCCTGCACCATTCATGGACCCTGCACCCTTCTTGGGTCCTGCACCCTTCATGGGTCTCGCACCCTGCCCCATGGACGCTGCACCCTTCATGGATCCTGCATCCTACTCCAAAACTCTACACCCCTCAGGGGTCCTGCATCCCATCCCAAAACCCCTGCACCCTTCATGGGTCCTGCATACTGCTCCATCGACCCTGCATCCTTCATGGATCCTGCACCTTTCATGGATCCTGCACCCTGCCCTATGGATATTGCACCTTTCATGGTTCCTGCACCCTGCCCCAAATTCCTGAACCCTTCATTGGTCTTTCACTCCATCCCAAAAACCCTGCACCCCTCATGGGTCCTGCAGCCTGTTCCATGGACCCTGCCCCATGCATCCTGCACCCTTCAAGGATCCTGCTCCCTTCACGGGTCTTGCACCCCATTCCATCCACCCTTCATGGTCCTGCACCCCATTCCCAAACCCCTGCACCCTTCATGGATCCCGCACGCTGCCCCATGGACCCTGCCTCCATCCTCTGACAAACTGCATTTAATATGGGCTGTAGGAGCTGGGTGCTGCAGAGACTCCATCTCCTGACCGCTCTGCCCTTGCAACCCCACCTCTTCGTGTCTCCTTGGGCCATTTTACATGGGTCAGGGGGTGTCCTTTTTATGGGTGGCTGTAGAGGGTGGATTTCCTCACCTCCTCATGCGTATCATCGCAGGAGGGCAGTGAGTAATGCTTGCAGCCTTGGAGAGTGCTCCCTGCTAACATATAATCCTGGTCCTGGGAGGATTTTGGGGGGTTTTTCCCCTCCTCAATGGACCCCAAACGTCTCTTGCCCAAGTGAACCACACTGATTTTTTGGCTCGTCTTCCCCCTGCCCTCTCGGGTGCAGCGTCTCCCCCAGCCCCTTCCCTTCTTCACCCATTTTCTCCCCCTCTTCTCTTGTTTTCTTTCACGTCTCCTTCTGTTTGTGTAACCACGGATTTCGTGCTGCAGCCAGGGCTGGTCCAAACTGCCAGGGGATGCCCTTGCCCCAGGCAGACCTTGCCCTGAGTGGGAATGCCCGTACGTGGCAGATTTCCCCTGATATAAAGCCGCCCTGGCTCCCAGGCAGAGCTCTGTTTGCAGGAGATAAATATATATATATTTATTTATATATATATATATATAATTTTTTTTTTCCTCTGGTCTTTTCAGAGCATCACTTTCAGCTCTGGCTGACAGTCCACTCCCGGTCCACATCTCACCCCTTTAACCCCCGAAGTGGGTTTGCTGCCCAACCTCTTGCTTTTCCTCTTCTTCAGCTGCTCTGGCAACCAGCAGAGAGCAGCCAGGCTGCGGAGAAATGCCCCGGGTGATGGGTTCCCCTCCACCTGCCCCGGGCTGCAGGCTGGGCTTGGCTCTAGGGGGGCTTGAATTGCGTCCCCCCAGTGTTGGCACCTGGAGCAGGTCACACAAACATTCCCAGCGCTGTGGAGGGCGGCAGGAAACAGGATATTTGCATATCAGATATCTTTATTTACTGCTTTGCCTTGGATTTGTGGCCTGTTGACACCAGTAGAGGTGAAGAGCATTGCAGGGCAATGCCACCCACCACACACGGAACCATAGAGGGGTTTGGATGGGAAGGGACCTTAAAGCCCATCCAGTCCCAACTGGATGGTCCTTGAGGTGCCTTCCCACCCAAACCACTCTATGATACTATAAAAACCAGCATTTTTCTTTCAGAAATACCTGTAGAAACACCACCATGAGATATCTCCCAGTTCCCCACACCGTGACAGGGTACCAAGAAGAGGACAAGGAACTGTACCCACACATCCCCCTGCGCACCCGCTTCAACCTGGATGGCGGCCGGTCCCAGGTGCTGAGCAGGTTTTACCAGGTGAGGACACAGGGGAGACCATGGAGGGAAGCCTGGGTGGCCACTGCAGGCTGGGCTTGGCTCTAGGGGGGCTTGAATTGCGTCCCCCCAGTGTTGGCACCTGGAGCAGGTCACACAAACATTCCCAGCGCTGTGGAGGGCGGCAGGAAACAGGATATTTGCATATCAGATATCTTTATTTACTGCTTTGCCTTGGATTTGTGGCCTGTTGACACCAGTAGAGGTGAAGAGCATTGCAGGGCAATGCCACCCACCACACACGGAACCATAGAGGGGTTTGGATGGGAAGGGACCTTAAAGCCCATCCAGTCCCAACTGGATGGTCCTTGAGGTGCCTTCCCACCCAAACCACTCTATGATACTATAAAAACCAGCATTTTTCTTTCAGAAATACCTGTAGAAACACCACCATGAGATATCTCCCAGTTCCCCACACCGTGACAGGGTACCAAGAAGAGGACAAGGAACTGTACCCACACATCCCCCTGCGCACCCGCTTCAACCTGGATGGCGGCCGGTCCCAGGTGCTGAGCAGGTTTTACCAGGTGAGGACAGAGGGGAGACCATGAAGAGAAGCTTGGGTGGTCATGGGTCCTGGTGGCTACTTGGGGGCTGGAGACAGATGTCCACTTCCCTGCTGCCTGCACACAGCAAAGCTCCCTGCCTGAAACCGGGCAAGCAGGGGTGGCATCTCAGCTGCTGTGTCTGACTTCAGGCAGCTTGAGTGTCTGGAGCACAGACACCTTGTGAGGTGTTCCTTGTGAGGAACAGCTGAGGGAGCTGGGGGTGTTCAGCCTGGAGAAAAGGAGGCTGAGGGGAGACCTTCTCACTCTCTACAACTCCCTGAAAGGAGGGTGTAGCCAGGGGCGGTCGGTCTCTTCTCCCAAGGAACAGGCGATGGGACAAGAGGAAACGGCCTCAATTGTCACCAGGGGAGGTTTAAGATGGAGATTGGGGAAAATTTCTCCATGGAAAGGGTTGTGAAGCCTTGGCAGAGGCTGCCCAGGGCAGTGGTGGAGTCCCCATCCCTGCAGGGATTTCAAAGCCGGGCAGACGTGGTGCTGAGGGACATGGGTCAGTGGTGGGTTTGTGAGTGTTGGGATGATGGTTGGACTTGATGATATTAAAAGGTCCCTTCCAACCTGGACAATTTTATGAGTCTATGATGATTAATTTCTATATTAGTGCAGCATCCCCAGTGTGTGAGGGCAGCTGAGGACCACGGCTGTGGCCGGCGTTTCTTCATGGATTGAATGGGGAGGTGATGGCCTTGGGCTTGCAATGGTCACCCCTGCAAAATCCTGCTCCTGGCAAGATGCAGAGCCCTGAGCTCAGGCTGAACCTCTGGGATACTTGTCTTTATCTGCAGCTGAGCCAGCAGCACCGTGATTTTTACCGGGACAACAGTGGGATGTTGAAGGTCGTTCCCTACTTTGTGCTGCCTGTGAAGGAAAAGGACAGATACCCTCATCCGCTCGACCTGTGAGTACCCATGTCCCCAGGACGTGGTGGCATCTGATTCCCAAGGGCTTGGGCTGGTGGGATGAAACCAGAGAGGTGTAGTGGAGGGCCAGCCCCACAGCTGATCCTCCTTCCCCTCTTCACCCAAACCTTCTGTCCTCAGAAAAACGAGAGGGGAGTAAACTAGAATCACCTGAAAGGGAACAGCAGGTGGGCAGTGTGCCCCAACCCAGCCCCAGGTTTTGGAAATGGGGCACCTCATTCTGAGGGCTGGAGCCCCTCTGCTGGGAGGGGGGGCTGAGAGAGTTGGGGGTGTCAGCCTGGAGAAGAGAAGGCTCCGTGGAGACCTTGGAGCCCCTGCCAGTCCCTCAAGAAGGGGGGCTCCAGGAAAGCTGGGGAGGGACTCTGGATGAGGGAGGGGAGCCCTAGGAGGAGGGGGAAGGGTTGGACCCTGCAAGAGGGGAGATGGAGCTGAGCTGTGGGGAAGAACTTGTTTGGTGGGAGGGTGGTGAGAGCCTGGCCCAGGTTGGCCAGAGAAGCTGTGGCTGCCCCATCCCTGGAGGGGTTCAAGGGCAGGTTGGAGGGGGCTTGGAGCAACCTGGTGTGGTGGGAGGTGTCCCTGCCCAGGGCAGGGGGTGGCACTGGGGGGGCTTTACGGTCCCTTCCCACCCAAACCATTTTATGATTCTAAAACCAGCTGACAGCCCCAGCCCCTGTTCAGCCCTCCAGGGACCAGGGGAGCCATCAGAGGGATGTATCACTCTCAACTAATGCTGGTTATAGCTGGCATCCAAAATTCCCTCTTGCCTGGAGCTCCGAGCACAGCGCTGGGCTCCCGGGGTGATTCCACTGGACCCAAAATGGGGCTGAGAGTGCACCTCCAGCGCTGCCAGCCCAGGACCAGGAGCTGAGCTGCGGTGGGAGCAGCCACCAGCAGAAATCCGTGGGTGCCCTCTAGTGCTATATTCGTGTGGCTCAGATTTCCTGAAATCCAGGGAAAAAAAAAGCCTCCAGTCATCTTCAGAGGGCTTCAGACAAACCTCCCCTCTTTCAGTGTAAAATCCCCACCCCTGCTGGCCACACTGTTGCTGGTCCGGGCCAGGATGTTAGTGGCCACCTGGGGCTCATCTTCAGTCGGCTGTTGACCAACATCCCCAGGTCCTTTTCCACCGGGCAGCTCCAGTCACTCTTCCCAAGCCCGGAGCATCCATGGGGATGGTGTGACCTGAGTGCAGGACCCAGCACTTGGCCCTGTTGAACCTCACACCGTTGGCCTCGGTGCATGGAGCTGGGAATGGGGAGCCCTGGGGTGGCATCAGCCCAGTGAAAGGTCAGACCAAGCACGTCCTCTTGGGGGGACAACACTGCAAGCTCACCAGCTTCTGCCGCTCTGCTGGGGTGAAGGGTGCCCACATGCTCTTGGAGCACACCCGTAGATCCAAGCCATGCCTGTACCCCTGGAACCCCTGCCTGTGTCTCCTTACTTCTGCCTCCACCTCCATAATCTTCCTCAATGCTCTTCTCCTCCCCAGCCCACCCCTCAGCGCGAAGACCCGCTGGTATTTGCTGCGATTGTCACCGACGAACCTGCGGGCCTACCAGACCTTCCCCTCGGGGAAGAGGGTCCCCTCTAAGGAGAGAGCGATGCGAGACAGCTTTTTTGAGCGCCGACTCTAAGCCACGGCTTCCACCCTGCCCTCGGTGGAAACCTGATCTTCCAGCCAGGAGAGGAACAACGGGAAAATAAAGGCAAGGGAGCTGAATGCTGTCTTGTGCTCTGTGTGCCATGGGGACCTGCCTACACATGGCAAGGATGGTCTTCGTGTGTGGACTTCAAGGATACGGGGCAGCTGCCCACCAGGCAGCTTCTCCAGCGATGAGGTGGGGTCATCCAGGACCTTCTCACCTGGGCTGGGAGGGCTGCTGAAGTGATGAGATGGTGGGGAAGAGCACAAGGACTTCAGTGTAGTCACCAGTGACCTCAGACGGGAGGATCACGGGCTCTGGATGAGGGAGGGGAGCCCTAGGAGGAGGGGGAAGGGTTGGACCCTGCAAGAGGGGAGATGGAGCTGAGCTGTGGGGAAGAACTTGTTTGGTGGGAGGGTGGTGAGAGCCTGGCCCAGGTTGGCCCGAGAAGCTGTGGCTGCCCCATCCCTGGAGGGGTTCAAGGGCAGGTTGGAGGGGGCTTGGAGCAAGCTGGTGTGGTGGGAGGTGTCCCTGCCCAGGGCAGGGGGTTGGAACTGGATGATCTTGAAGGTCCCTTCCCACCTAAACCATTCTGTGATTCCATGATTCTTCCTTGTGGCTGCTGGACGCGTCCTCCCTTCCTTGTAGATGCTGCTTGGTTGATCTTGGCCAAGGAACAAGCTCTAAAAAGCATGCACAGCTCTGTCTGACTGTGAGTGGTGACCTGACTGGAGTTTAAAGTGATTTTGGAAATGCACTTAAAAAACACAAGGACTCTCCTTGGTGTGTTAAACCCGAGCTTTTGAAGGGCAGCAGCACTTAGTCCCCATCAGCGGGATGGAACGTGGTGGCCAGGGAGTCAGGAGGAGATGAGTTTAAAAGGGTTATTTCGCTTCAGGTGTCAGCGCGTGGGGGAGAGAAAAAATCAATAAAAAGCTGCTAAATCTCTGGGTTTCCAAAATAGCTGCTGCAAAGAGCCCCTCATTTCTGGAGTATTTTTGTGCTTTGAATCAGGAATGGGAACCAGATGAGAGAATGGGGCGGCAGAGGGGCGAGGACACGAGTCTTCTCCTGTCTCCCCCATCTTCTGCCTCTGCCTCCCTCCCAGCAGGGCAGGAGATGGAGCTCTGCTGCAGAAGAGGGGTCAGGGCCCCTTCTCCAGCCCCGTGGGCAAAGGACACGGGCTGGCACCCAGGGAAATGCTCTTCAGAAGTAACCAGGTGTCTCACTCTTGCAAGGGTGCTCACTGGTGGCCCAAAGGTGCCAGGCTCCTCATGAATGGGTGGCACACAGGGGCAGAGCTCCCAGTTGTCACCACCAGTGGCAGACCTTGTCCGTGCCCTACCACATCACCCACTTCCAAAATCACTGGAAGAAAAAATGTCTTCTCACATAAATTAAACATTCCCTCTTGCCCACGCTGGGACACTGTCCTACCAAGCCTGACATGGCTTAATCCATCCTCACGTGCTCTCCAGGGAGCACGAGCCCCCTAGGAGGATGGAGGAATTAAGGCATCTCTGGGGCCTCCTCTGGCCCTGCTCCAGCAGCTCCATGTCCTTCTGCTGTTGGTGGCCCCAGAGCTGGAGGCAGCACTGGGGGGGTCTCCCCAGAGCGGAGCAGAGGGGCAGAATCCCCCCCTCACCCTGCTGGCCACGCTGCTGGGGATGCAGCCCAGGGGGTGGGGGGGGCTTTCTGGGCTGCCATCTCTCAAAGCCAGCTGAGTTTTGCCTTTTTTGCTCCCAAACCTGTTTATCTGGGGGATCCCACATTCCATCCTCAGGAAACTTCTCACTCTGTAAAACCCTCCCTAGAAGAAGCCGCAAATTAAAACCACCTCAAATTTATATCCTTAAAACCTCTCTCAGGGTTTCTGTGGCTCTCTTACGCTCATCAGGGCTTCGATGGTCAGGTCCCTTTGCTCTGCAGCCCTGGCATCTCACAGGGTCAAGACCAGGGTGCTGGGGTGATGCTGCTGGTGGAAGGAGACCCACACCCCCCCCAAATCCCTGCTGTGTTTCCAAAGCAGAAGACATCTGTCTTGCAGCAGAGTGTCTGTCCTAGGAACAAGCCTGATGGGACTTTTTTCCCCTGTGCTTCTCCCTTTAGAGGGCACCAGCACCTTGCAAACCGTGCTCGGTGGTCACCTCAGGCAGAAGGTGGGTTATGGGACCCCCAGTCCTTTGGTTCGATGCCATGAGGTCATCGAACCAAGAATGGTTTGGGTGGGAAGGGACCTTAAAGATCATTCCTTGAGACCTGCCCACGCTGAACCCCCTGGACTCCCGGGAAACCCCACTGGGCTCATCAAAAGGAGGTCCCTGAGGAGGTGATGGTGTTGGGGGGCTACCTGTAGACCCCATGAAGAGACATGAGAAACCTGCTGGGGGGGGTCCTTTTATGGAAATCCCATGTGCCAGCCACCATCACGGGGCTTGATTCCTGGTTTCCACAATTTCCCTGATTCCTTTATGAAAATACATTTTATTAATAACTCCAGAGCTGGGTGTCTCCAAAGAGGGACCCCAAACAAAGAGATCCCCGGGCACTTACACCCTTACAGTGGAAGTTCCCCACCCCTCATGCCACGGTTGGGACCAAGACTAATATTGGGGTCTGGGGTCTTCTTGCTTTTAACTGGTTTGATTCGTTTGCTATTTCATTTCTAAGTGGTTGCTACGTGGTCACTTTCTTCTACAACATCCACCTCTTAGTTCAGGCTTCAGCTGGTTCTGTAATTAGCCATCGGGCATGTTGTAACAGGGTGGTTACAGTTGACATGCCACCATCTATGGCTTTGTCCACCCTGGCTATTCATATTTAAGCCACGAGTTCTACAACACCTGGGTGGAGGAGCTGGTGGTCCAGGGCACCCTCAGCAGGGACCCAGTGCCTTGCCCTGCAAAGACCACTGGAGCCAAGCTGGATGGATGGCTTGGAGGTGGTGGGAGAACCATCCTGGGATGCTCTGCAGAGAGGCCAAGCAGAGCCCCAGGGACCAGCAAAAGTTCATTGAACCTGAGATACTGAAAAAAAGAAAAACATAGTGAAACGTGGAGCTCCAGGGACTGCAGCTGGTGGTCCAGGGCACCCTCAGCAGGGACCCAGTGCCTTGCCCTGCAAAGACCACTGGAGCCAAGCTGGATGGATGGCTTGGAGGTGGTGGGAGAACCATCCTGGGATGCTCTGCAGAGAGGCCAAGCAGAGCCCCAGGGACCAGCAAAAGTTCATTGAACCTGAGATACTGAAAAAAAGAAAAACATAGTGAAACGTGGAGCTCCAGGGACTGCATTTTCCATAAGAATTTCACTTGGCTGGAAAAGCTCCAACCATCAAGACGATGATGAAGGGATAAAATCCAAAGTGTCAGGGAGGGCTATATAAGGCGGTGCGGAGCCGGTACGATGTCGTCAGTCGTTAAAACACGCCAGGGAGCTCTGAGGTGTGCTGCCACAGCAGAAACTTGAGGGCCACCACCTCAAAGGTGACCTTGGTGTCACTGGGAGCACCCTGTGATTCCCAGGTCCAGGAGCTGCACCGCTGGCTGGTGGGATCCACCACCGGGTTCAGGAGGAGGAACAGGAGGAGGAACAGGGACATGGTCACAGCACTGATGGAGAAGAATTGTGCACCCACGGGGACAGTGTGAGTGTCACCAACACACCAACACACACGAAGAGAGTTGAAATCCTCATTAAACCTAAGGGACATCCCAAGAACTCTCCTGCAGCTCTAGGGAAGGGGACACCAGCTCCTCCAAGCTGCAGGTGAAGATGTTCCTCTACCCTGAGCGAGGTTTCATAGCAAAGAGGTCTACATGGGACTGGGTGCATCTTTGTGGCTGTGGTTTGGGGACCACGTCATGCATGCCACCATCCTGGGGTGCTGTGTTGGGTGAAGGGGTGGCTGCTCTTGAGCAGGATGAGGTGAGGAGCTGCTCATCTCAGCTCACCCAGTGGGACCCCCTTCTTCACCTTGTCAGGCTGCAGGCTGGGTTGGAGTGTCCCAGCCCACTTGGTGCCACATCTCCGTGTCACCTGTGTGCGCTGTTGGAAGCTGCTGTCACCTTGAAACCATGTCACCTGTGAGCTGCTGGGAAGAGGACCCACACCCACCCCTGCTCACTTTATCTGCTGGCCTCCAAGCATCCCTGGAGCCACAGGAGGATGTCCCAGCTCATCTGTGTGGCTTTCACAGCATCTGCTGTGGGTCTTGGTCAAACCTGCCTGGAAAATCTGAGTACACCCTGAACACCGGCAGAGATTCCTGCCCTTCACACAAAGATGGGGAGAAAACAAGTGGAGAAAGGGAAGGAAAACCCTTCAGCCTCTTCATCCCTTCAATCATACGTTGCCCAGAGAGGTGTGGGATGCCCCATCCCTGGAAACATTCCAGGTCAGGTTGATCGGGGCTTTGAGCAACCTGGTCTGGTTGAAGATGTCCCCTGTTTATGGCAGGGGGTAGGACCGACTGGTCTTTAAAGGCCCCTTCCCACCCAAACTGTTCTGTGTCTCTGTGATCCGCTGCAGCAGAGATGTCAGGGATCAATGACAGGGTTGTTTACTGCCCCCTTCCCACCCTCCAGCGTCTCCCATTAATTAAGTCAGGCTCAGTGTTTTGCAAACGCAGGTTGATTTTGTCCAGACCCAGCTTAGCTTGGAGCAAGCCCCTCTCCTCCTCCCCCTCCCCCTCCTCCTCCTCCTCCTTCTCCTCCTCCTCCTCCTTCTCCTCATCCTCATCCTCATCCTCCTCCTCATCCTCCTCCTTCTCCTTCTTCTTTTCTGCCCCTGGGAAACCTCCTCTCCCAGCCCCTTCCCCACTCCATCTGCTCCCCGATCCCCCCCCAGACCCTTCCTCAAGGTGGGGTCCCCCCTAGACATCAGCCTGGGCATCCTTTGGCACGGTTTAGCCTGGCAAGGGTTAACCCAGGTCTGCACCGTGTTTTTCCCCGTGTTTTCCCGGCTGCGGAAGCGGGGCAGGTGGATGTTTACAGGATCGATCTGATGCTCTTTTACCATCTTTGACAACTTGTTTAATCTTTCCCTGCTCCATCTCCCTCCAC